TCCAGTTGGTACTCTTTCTCCTCTGTTCTTTGGTGATTTCCATCAGATCACCCTCATATATGTGTGTATTTTAGGAAGCTCCTACAGTATTAGGTTTCCATAAGACCCCTAAAGCGGCCCTTAGTTTTACTAGCTGGGAAAATTTTTGATTGAAGTAGAGCTAGCACAGGTCACCAAGCATTTTCAGTTCCACTGGTATTTCCTCTCAGGATTCCCAGGGCACCTACTCTTCTGCTATTCAGTTAGCACTCAATTAAGGAAGGATGGGAAAGGATAAGAATGATTAACTGGGGAGTGTTCAGACCTCTTCCTCGCAGATGAAATCTGCCGTTGGCAGACACCCACCTCCCAATCTGCTGCCTCAAAGTTTTTCTTCACACTAAAAGTCTGTAGTGGAGAATGGAGAGAGGTGGCAGGAAGAGGGGGAGGGGAGGAGGAGAGATGGAGGGGACATTTCTACAGGTGATTTGCAAATGAGAGGGAGGGAGAGAAAGGGATGGTGTGAGAGAGGGAGGGAAATGAGGGTGAGGGGTTGGGGAGAGCCTGTCTAGCATATACAAGAACTTAGGTTCAATCCCCAGTATCGAACAAAGAGAAATAAAATGGAATCATTTGAAATAGTTTTCAGAGGTAGATGTCTCCCTGGTTCTCCACAGCCTATGGACACTATAGTCACGATTTTCAGAGGATCATGGGTATAAACCCCTGTAGGACACTGGCTTTTCTAAAAAATTCATTCATTCATTTATTATTATTATTATTTTTAATCCATGCAACAGCTACTTTCCTCTTCCTTTACATCCTCTCCTACCTGTCCATTCCCGTGCAGTGGAGGCTCCATTTCCAACCAACAGAAAGAGTCACGTGGGGCAGAGTGCCGTCAGAACTAATCTCTCCTTCTCCAGGTGACTCAAGGCCCTCAGCTTCTAGCAATCTACTTCCACACACAGGAAACTTGCAGAAGCCATCCCCCCCCCCCCCCCCCGCAGCCACCCCTCCACACACACAATGCGTGGAATGTCCCTTGAAGTCCGTGAATACATTGTCTGAAACCAGAGAACAGTATGGAGTCTTTCTTGAGTTCAGAAGGACACTGCTCAGGAGAAGTGTACAGGGATGCTTTCTGACAATTGTTTTAATCAGTGACACTAACCAAAGTGACAAAGCCAGAAGCTAAGTCCCACTGACACCCAGCCATCAGCTGGACACTCCAGTGACACTCAAGGGGCAGGGCTGCAGTAGACATGTTCTGCCATAATAGAGAACTGGATTTTGTCTGTAATCATTTTTTAAAAATTAGCATAATAGACAACTTGTTTTTATTATTGTTTTTCAATGTTCTGCTATTTTTTTATTGCTTGGATCATGTATAGACAGACTCCTCCTGTGTGGAAAACTGGCTCCTTCTTGTCTCCTCTCTGGTCCACCACAGGATGACATGGTGGCCATTCACTAAGTCTTCTTTTGTTCAAGATTTAAGAGTAATTTAAGTACAAGGTTGATTGGGCTGATATGAGGATTCTTGGCGACCCTGTGAGTAGCAGCCCCCAACTCCATATGTGGAAATTTCTATATAAAGCCAGCAATGAGAGGGGATAGATGGATAGGTTAGGTACAGTAGACAGTCCTACACCCAGCAAGGCCAGTGAGCAATTCCACATTGTGGTTTCTAGACATGGGGAGCCAGGCTTAGAATGACAAGAATCCCACAATAGAAACAGAGGATGTAGAGTGTGTCAGCTGCATGTATTATCTCTATTTGTAATTCCGAGTTGCTTTTATAAAGTGCTTGTAGCCAAACGCTGTGACCCTTCCTATTTATCTTTGGCTTCATCTTATCTTTTCTCTCTTCTTTATGCTCCTTTCCACCCTCTTCTCAATAAGTGCAATTCCTTTCTGGAGGCTCCATCCCATAATTTAGACTTTCACTTTTAACTTACGCTTTATAAAGTGATTGTCTATGTGCAGTTGTTTTCATTATTTTAAACGCTGGTGAATTTTAATTAAAATCACGAACTCTCAACTCGCGTTGAAGGGGGCAAATATTTGAGATTGTGACCATGTCCCACAAACTCTTAAAGACTGAAAGGACAGGGAGAGGAGTTTATTAGTTGAATGAAAAATGTCACAAGTAGCTGAATGGAAATGAGAAGCAGGTAGGGCCAGAGCGTTGAGGGGAGACCAGTGTTTGACAACAACTGCAACAACAAACAGCTGGCCAGGACCCCAGAATGGGCACCACTTCCCACCCCCTGCAAGCAAATGTCCACACTCCCCAGTACAATACAAACAGATCTGGAACTCTGTCCACTTCTTTTCTGTGTATCTTTCTACACTTTCCCCCTGCATGCACCTTGCTCTGAACTCCAGCTTCCGACAGTTCAGTCTGAATGCTCCCCAGCCTCCCGTTCCCCACTGCCTTTGCCCACGCTGTATCTCCTCCTGGAAAGTCCCGGCTTCTTCTCCCTCTGCAATCCTCTACTCTTCTGTAAGAACTAGCCGTGCTACAACTTCTGCAGATGCTTCTCTGGTTCCATGTTGTTCACATCCCAAACATCTGTAGCCTACTGGATTCTGTCCCTACTATTGGATGCAAGTGACCTTGGGTAAGTTCCTTGATCTCTCTGCATTAGTTTTCTCAATTGCATAATGAGGATAATCATGCTATCACTTATGTAATTATTATGGAGATAAAGCAATTAGTATGTTTGCTATAAAGCATACAGCTACTCAATGCTACTCAATAAGTGCTGTTATACTTTTTTATATAATTTATTACCCCTCTTGCCAATATCATTACCACATTTATACCCTAAGGGCTTTCTTTATTCATACAGATTTTATTCACATATTGTTTGTGTCAATCTTATGAGCTAGATAATTTTATTTCAACTTGATACAGCTAATGTCATCTGAGTGGAGGGAACATCAATTAAAATAATGCCTCTATAAGATCCAGCTGTAAGGCATTTTCTTAATTAGTAATTGATGGGGGACAGCCCAGCCTATTGTGGGTGGTATCATTCCTGCGCTGGTGGTCCTGGGTTCTATAAGAAAGCAGACTGAGCAATCCATGGGGAACAAGCCAGTAAGCAGCATCCCTCCACAGCCTCAGCATCAGTTCCTGCCTCCAACTCTGTTTGAGTTCCTGTCCTGACTTCCCTCAATGATGAACAGTGATGTGGAAGCATAAGCCAAATAAACCCTTTCCTTCCCAAGTTGCTTTGGTCATGGAGTTTTATCACAGCAATAGTAAGCCTAACTAAGAAGACATCTTTTTTCATATACCTTAATCCTCAGGCTAAGTGCAATATTTGGCATCAACAGATATTCAGTAAATATTTTTTTGAGATATATCTATTGGTTTCTATAAGCCTTTTCTTTTATTCAGATTATCAGTGTCTTGAAGTGTATTTTCTGCTTTATAGCAGCCAGCTAGGGTACCAGCCAGTGCCCTGAGCATGACCAGTATTACAATGCATCCATGAGAAGTATGCAGGAAGTACTACTTGGATGTTGGCTAAAAGAAGACAGGGCAGATCACAGGTACAAGGAAAGACTTGCTACCTACATGTCATTGGTGGCAGGCTGGAGGCTTGAAGGCAAGCCCTGGTGTGATCCTTGGCTTCATAAATCTCCATCTGCTGTCATTAAAAAGGAGATGAAGCATGGTAAGGATGTCATCTCAGCCTGATGCTGGTTTGTGGACTGAGGATGTGGTAAAGGGGAGATTGGTGACTTCTTGGGAGAGGTTACAGCAGGATGCTCAGCTCATGTTTCCCTGTGCCTCTGAAGACTAGGATGCTATGGTTGGAGTCTGTATTCCATAAAACTGAGAGTTCACAGTTGCTAGTTCTATGCTTCTACAGCCCATCTGTTGTGGGTCATTTGATTATCTGTTTTTATCATGTTATACTTATTAGGTAACAAAGATCTTAATAGTTATCTTCAACCAGAAAACAAACAAAAAAATGCTTCAATACCATTCCTAAAAGCGGATCATGGGTATTTCCATGCAAATGTTTAAAACAGATTGTTTCATACTCTAGTAGTGTGATGTGTTTTTCGTGAATCATACCATCTTCTATTAATATCTTTCTGAACTTTGATTGTGCAGTTGGTCAGATTATTAAACACTATTCCTTTAAAGGGATGTTTGTTAAGCTGTTTGAGCTCCAAATTTACATTTTGTTTAAAGGGTGCCATAAAATTTGAAATCAAGGGCTTATGGGGGAATGGTTTCAGTTAAAAAATGAGAAAGTTATTTGAGTTTAAGGAGAACATTTGAAGATTTTTCTAGGGATCCGAAATATATGGAAAAATGTGACATCATTAGAAATGGAATGTAAGACTTTTATTGCCCATCTTTAAGCTTGTGGAAATGAAACCTATAAATTGAAGGATGAATGAGGGGGCCACTTCAGAAGGTTTTTTCCCCCCAAGTAGTCAGCTTGTCTCAAATCCCAAAGGAGGTTAGATGGAGGCCTCATGGAGAAACAAGATGCTCTCACCTTCAAAGAAAATGAACCTGGCTTTCTGGCCCACCTGCTCTGTGTTGATCTAGCAGTCTTCCTGTGTCTGTCATGGCCTTTGACAGCACACCCATCATAACCAGCTGAAGGCAGCTCTCCTCCGTGTCTTCATGCTACCAGTCTCCTTGCTCTGTTTCAGACCTGGTGTATGATGCAGTAACTACTTGGTAAACACAAGAGACCAGCTGTTTATTCACTAAGGAAGTAAGTCCCAAGAGCCACTGATAACTGCTGGAAGTCCAGGGGTGATGTGGTGAGGGCTCTGCTTGGTACTCATGAAGCGGTCCTTGCCCCCGCCCCCAAACTCGGGCTCATAATTAGTCATGTTTCTGAGTCCGCCTGAGTTCAGGTAAGACTGCATGACTGGCTTTGGGTTAATAGATTTGAGAAGAGTGGTAGAGTCCACTTCCGTTCCCACCTCCTAAAATGAGTTTGCATTTTCTCCCTCTTTCATCTCATCAGATGAGAACCAAAGATCCAAAAGACAAATTCCAGGCCCTCGGTGCCAGTGCCATCTCGAAACGACAGAATCCGGTCCATGCAATGGAGTCATAGGAAGCAGCTACTGGTTCATTCTGCACGGAGTTTCCAGTGAGTAGGAGATGAAAGTCAGTGTTGTCAGGTCACTGGGATGGGAGAGTTCATTTGCTTTCGGAGCAGCTGTTTTATGCATGGGATGGTCAGCTTTGTCATCATGATACAACCTAGAATCACTGGGCAAGCGTCTCACTGAGGGGCTGTGTGCATTGGGTTGGCCTAAGGTTGTGACTGTGAAGGATTCTATTAATTAAATTAATTGATGTGGAAAGATTCGGCTCACAGTAGGCAGCACCATCCCCTAGGCTGGGGTCCTGGACTGTGTAATAGTCGAGAAACCAAGCTGAACACAGGTAAATGAGCATGGATGCATTTATTACTCTTTACCATTGACTGTGGATGGGATGTGACTAGCAGTTGGAAGTTCCTGCCTTGAGTGTAAGCTAAAAAACAAAACAAAACAAAACAACAACCACCACAAATGATCAAAAAACCCCTACCAAACAAAAAAACCCTTTCTTCTATCACTTGCTTTTACTTAGTGTATTCTATCAAAACAACAGAAAGGAGACCAGGACAGTACGAGTTAATGTTTTTACGTAGAGACCTGTAATCACATGATCATAAAACATGAGCAGAAGGATGTCCAATTTCTTTGTAATGTGAATGCGATGAAATGAGATGATGAGCAGGGCACACGATGGAGATAACAGGGTATGACAACAGAAAGGTGAAAATACATCATTGTGTAATTCCTGTAAAAGTGGTTTCTATGGACAGAGAGGACCAGACACAGATGTGGACTGATGAGACAGAAATGATGGAGTTGATCATGGTGACAAATGGTACTAGAGGGAGAAGGAGGCCTCAGATCAGGGTGTCTTCCAGCACATACCAGGGCTCTAGAATTTTGTATATGGAGGCCCATTCCAAAGCTTCTTGGCAGTGCTACAAAAAAAACCAATGCTACTTGTCAGCGTTCTGCCTCTTTGCTCAAGTAAATGTTGCTATTTCAAAAGGTTAGCTGAATGAGAAGCAAACTTTGTGATGCGGTTGGGTCACCTTTTGGCTCAATGTCCTTGTTTTGTCATGTTTAGAAAACAGGTCGTTTGTCTGAGGCCACTCTTAGAGGTACCTTCTTGCTGACAGTTTATTCTGCTTGTGTGAAGGCTGTATAGTCAGAGGCTGGGAGACTCCATAGTAAGGTGAATGGGGAAGTAATTCTCAGGGAGTGCGATGAAGACCTAAGCTGGAACGTGGTGGTATTATATTGATGCGCAGCACAGAATGATCCTAGACGTACTAAGCTCAGGAGTAGAGTACGGAGAAAACCAGAGTTAGAAGACAAATCCTGCTTGTTTGTGGTGTGTCTGGGTGAGATGGTAGTCCTACCCACATGAAGAGCAATGGGGGGGGACTTGGTATAGCATTCCCAGAATTAAGTTTTGGTGCTGGGGATGGAGGATGAAGCATCTGAGGGTCCTCCATGTAGACAGGTGGGAGCTGTCTATCTAGTTTGGGAGGTCCAAATCTGGGAATGATTATTTAGGAAGGACAAGAAGAGTGTAACTATACAATGAAAGTGTCCTAGAGAAATATTCTGGGGACACTAAAATCAGGGAGACAAACCAGGTACTATCAACTGGCCCTGGCACTGTGAGGGAGTGAGGGATTCTGGGTGTGCAGAGTGCAGGAGGTCTTAGAAATCCCGAGCCTACAAAATCTGTAGGAGGCCCAGGAATCTATCAATCAAAACGCCTCCACTGGAGTTATTAATTAGGATGTCTTTGATAAAATCTGGGACAGAGAAGTGAGTGGTGGGGGCCACAGCACCACGGAAGTGGATTCAAAAGCTTGTAAGGCCAACCACTGAGCTGGGCGAGTTCCTTTCTTGTCTTAGCAGTTCTTTCTCTGTAAGGCATTGGACTGAGGTCATTCCGATGCTTTCATTTCTAACCATCTAATAATAAGATGCTACCGAATGTGTGGTGGGTGTACCATTCTCATAAAAATCCCATATGGTACTGAAACCCTGCTTTTCCCAAGGCTGAGAATGGTTAAGTGTCATGCTAAGTTAAGATTCATAGAGCCAATGGGTTTCTGAACGGGAAATTAAAAACGAGGTTTGCCTTATAACTAAGCACATGTTCTTTATCTTATCCTGTGCCATGCGATACTTTTAGGGAAGGATAGGTACAGGGCAGCATGTGAATTGAATTTCAGTAGTAGATCACTTATAAGAGCCGTCCTTGCTGTATTTTCATAGGCAATCTCCCGTAATAAAAAGCAGAATGTTCCTTTAGAGGGACATAAACAGAATTCAATGTGAAGTCCTTGAACTACTCTCATATTTGATATATATATAAAAAGACCAGGTTGATCAGTGAGTGACAGAGAAATATGGAGGTTCTATACAAACAGAAAAAAAAAAAGATCAATACTAGCATAACATTTTATGGAGGCAATGCATTTTTTTCTGTTAAACCTCTCCGAAGATGAGTGTAGCCGTCAATAGGTAAAGGAACTCTGGGGCATGTAATTCTCATTTAGTACAGATAAGCTGATCTCTGCAGCCAATTATCTGATATAACAAGAGGGAGCATGTGGTTCCTCAAGGTGTCCTCCCTGGGTGTGTGGCAGGAATAAATGTTTTCCAAGTCGACCAGCTTATGGTGTGTGTGTGGGGGGGGTATTTTTCATCATCAGGAGGGTGCTTTCTATAGCTAACATTTTAAAAGAACTGGTGGTGGTATTTGACTTTGGAGATATTCAGATTCTTTTTTGCATAATGTCAGCATGTGGGAGCTCTGTTCAACAGTCCTGCAATTTCTTTGCATGTGTGTATGTGCATATGTGTGTGTGAGTTATGTGGTAGGGCACATGCATGTGAGGATGTATGTACCCCTACATATACACATGAGGGCCAGATCATGATTTCAGGTGTTTCCTCTATCACTCTTCACCTTAATGCCTTGAGACAGTCTCTCATGGAACCACTCGCTGCTTTGACTAGGCTGGCTAGCCAGTGAGTTCTCCAGATCCATCTGTCTCTGCTCCCCTCCTCCCCAGGTTGAGATACAGGTATGCATAGCTATGAGCAGATTAAAAAAAATACCTGTTTTGAGATTATAATATAATCATATCAGTTTACTCTTTTCTCCCTCCAAACCCAGTCTCACCAACATGGCTGCCTACACCCAGCTTTTTCCATGATAGCACACTCAGATCCTCATGTTTACAAAGCAAATGCTGTTATACACTGAGTAATCTCCCCAGCCCCAGTCCATAAATTAATTTCTTTTTATGTTTCCAAATAGTCTTTTCAAAGGAAATCTAGTTTGCAGAGTGTTTTGCTGTCCTCAAACTCAGATATTCCATTTGATAATCAGAGACGTGGAACACAGGCAGGGACATGACCTACTCACTAGTGCACGGTGTGTCTGGGACACAAGCTCGAGGCAGAGCAGGCTACTTATGGTGTGTATAGAAAATGTCCCGCACAGGCTCATTTGTCTGAACACGGTCCCCAGCTAGTGGCTCTGTTCTGGAAGGGAAAGGGGAGCACAGCTAGAGGAAGTAGGTCTCTAGGGGGCAGGCGTTTGAGCTTTACAGCCTTGTGCAACTTCCTGTCCTCCTCCATTTCCTGGTTTGATGGGATGTCAACAGGTATCCATACACCTCTGCCTGCAGAACTTCCAATCACTCCCACTGCTCTGCCTTCCCTGCTATGTATGTATGTATGTATGTATGTATGTATGTATGTATATATGTATGTATGTATGTATCTTTTCAGTCTATCTATCTACCTACCTACGTATCTATCTATCTATCTATCTATCTATCTATCTATCTATCTATCTACCTACCTACCTACCTACCTATCATATCCCTGCTGTGTATGTATCATAGTTCAGACCATGAGCCCCAATAAATCCTTCCTGCCTCACATTGCTTCTTGTGGCATACTTTGTCACAGTCACAAGAAAGAAATAGTGGGTTTATCTTAGGTACTCTAACATCTACCAGAAGGCCTAGAAGTATGTGGCTCTCAGAGTGTTTGGCAGTGGAGAAAGGGACAGTATTTTAGCACCCGGGGTACCAAGTACAGCACAGAAAAGCCCACTCTGGTGTAGCTCTGGCTTTTCCTGCTCCAGTTTCAGTACACCACAAAGTCCATGGGCTACTTAGCCCCTTCTGCCTGTCCTATAACGTGGGAGAAAGCCTGTAGTGAAGTGAGGCTCTGCACACCAGCAGCTGCCTCTGCTCTGGCTTTAATTCTTACTTAGTTCTTGTTTAACCACAGACTCAGGGAATAAATCTATTTCATAAGCACACGGGCCCAAGTCTCTGATTTGATTTCTTGCTTGTTATCTTTGTTAGTCTGGCTAATCTAGGCTTTAGCATGATAACAAGCAAATCCAAAGTCTCAGTAGCTTAATGCATAAACATCTATTTCTCACTCGTGATTTGGGAAGCCGCCGAGGGCAGTTCCCTGTCCAGCCATCGTTTAATGAGCTCAGTCTCTTGCATCGTCTCTCTTTGCCGTTTGGAAAAGATGATGTCCCAATCTCCACAGAGGACAAGTGACCTGGAGGGTTGAGCACCATCCTACATGCTTTAGAGATAACGCATATCACTTCTTAAGACCCATTGGCCAAGATAAATATATATATATATATATATATATATATATATATATATATATATATTAACTGTAAGAGTATTGGAGAATTTAGGAACATGAATAGATTCAGCTAGCAATGAAGTTCTCTGGTATAGTATATAATTAATATAGACTGCACACTTGTGTCCCCCTAAATCCACATGTTGAAATCTCAAGTAAAGTGTGATGGTTCAGACCTGTAATCCCAGCACTGGGGAAAGATTCCAATCATTTTGATACCAGCCTGGGCAACACTGTCTAGAGTGAAAACTCAGTCTCAAAAAAGACAAAAATAAAACAAAACAAAACAAAAAACCAAACCAAAACAACAAAAAAAACCCAAAACCAAACCAAAACAAAACAAAAAAACAACAAACAAACAAACAAAAAC